TATACATAATAAATGGGCATATTAGGAGAAATAAGATTCAGAACGAAGTTATACAAGACAAGGTGAGAGTGACATCCGTGGCGGACAAGATGAGGGAAACAAGATTGAGATGATTTGGACATATGAAGAGGAGGTGCACAGATGCTCTAGTAAGGAGGTGTGAGAGGTTGGCTATAGAAGGATTCAGGAGAGGTAGAGGTAGATCGAAGAAGAACTAGAGGAGGATATTAGATAGGATATGACACATTTTCATCTTACTTAGGACATGGCCCTAGATTGGATCATAGGAAGGAAGGTATGAAGGTCGATGATTAAGGTAGATGGTAGCCTAGTGTTTTCGTACTTTTATGTGGGAGGGGCAGGGATTAGTATCCTCAACTCATCTTCTCCTTATTTAGTAGCGTAAGTTAGTATTCACGTAGTATCTTACTCTGCAATAATTACTACTGCCTATTGCTTCTTTTGCTTTGTTCATCTTGTTATATCTTTTCAATCCTGCTTTGCTTTCACTTCTTTGAGCCGAGGGGCTATCGGAAACAACTTCTCTAGCTCACAAAGGTAGGGGCATGGTCTTCGTACATCCTACCCTCCCAAGAACCCACTTGTGAGATTATGCTGGGAATGTTGTTGTTGTTGTTGTTGTTGTGTGAGTATTATATATTTTAATTTATATATATGTGACTTTTAAAACTTATGGTTTGAACCGTATCATTACATTTATGTGGCTATAAGAATTTTGAAATTTGTGGTCTTAAACATGCCTAACATTTTTGAGGCTAGTTTGTCATTAAGGGTAGAATGGGAAGGTTAAGTTAAATTGTTACCAAATATATAAAATTGTCAATCTTTTGAAATGGACTAAAAAAGAAACGCTTTCACATAAACTGGAAAGGAGGGAGTATAGAGAGAGGGGGAGAGAGAGAGAGAGAGAGAGAGCACGTCAAGTGTCTTAATTGCTGTCCTTCATTATTTCTGTTAGAACTTCATAGTTCATAGTAATCAACTAATCATAAAACTGACAGACATCTCTAGCATCTCTTAGATCATTGAGATAAGGAACTGAAATATCATGTACTCTTGCCTCTTGGTAATCTGTTAAATTACTTTGTTGATGTGGAAACCTTGCTAATTATAATTGTCAATTGAATGGGTGTGATTTAAGTTCTAAATCACTAGAATTATCTGTTTTTACCTGAGGTGATCTCTATCAAAGGAGATCATGCCTTTCACTCTGTGTTCTTTTTCCAATTTTCCCTTTGGACATGGTTTGCGACTTCAGTGCAATATCAAAATTTCTCTAAGTTGATAGTATGGTTCTTGACCTGGGAAAATTTATTTCTTTTATTTTCTATGGTAAAGGTGAGTACTCTGATATGTTTTCTTGCTTACCTTTTTCTTCTTTCCCTAACTCCCTTTTGCCTTTTTTCTTTTATTTTGTCTTATTGGTTTCTGCAGTAAACCTTTGCAACAGGTGGTGCTCGACTATGACTATACCTTCACAACACCTTACTGTGGAAGTGAAACTGTCGAAAGAAATGTCGAGGTTTCTACCTTATGCCCTTCGAATAGAACTTTTTAAAGATTGAGTTTGTCTTTCAAAATTTTCTTTTGCAGAATTTTTTTTAAGCCAATTGACAATGTGTTAAGCTTAGTAGGCTGTCTTAGAGCCCGTTTGGATTGGCTGAAAAAAGTAGTTTTTAAGTCAAAAAATAAAAAGTAGGGGGAGTCCTACTTTTGGTTTTTAACTTTTTTTAAAGTCATTTAAAACTTATTTTAAGTTATTTTTTTATTTTTGCCAAACACTCCCAAAAGTTAAAAACGACTTAAAAGTAGGTTTCACCAACTTTTAAGCCAATCTAAACAGGCTCTTATTTAAGCCAATTGACTCATGTGCATTTCAGGGTTACAACATAGCAATGATCTGCGCTGAGTTGAAGCATTATATAATTTGAATAAATTATATGCTATAGATTATTGTTATTCCGTTACTCATTTAATATTTATATAGTTTTGCCATCTCTGTGTGTTATTGCTTAAAATATCTTTGATCCATTAGCAATAAAGACTTCTCTTTGTTTTCCTTTCTCAACCATATCTTTCAATTACCGGCTCCTTTGCTTTCAAAAGTTGTTTGACTTATTCTGGCTGCTGTTGTCTGTTCAGTGTGGAAGTGCTATACCTGAAGAAGGCAGCAGCTGCATTCAGTGGGAGGATTGTAAGGAGAAAATTGATTTGGTTGCATTGGCTTCTAAAGAACCTATTCTCTTTTATGATGAGGTTGGTGACTCAGGTTTAAGTGATTTCTGGGTCATGCTGCTGAGCAGTGTCATTCATGTCAATTTGATATATCTAACCTTTTTAGCACGAAGGTAAATTTTACTTCAATTTGAACAGATAATCTTATACGAAGATGAACTGGCTGATAATGGGATCTCACTTTTGACTGTTAAAGTGGTAATGTTCTCATGATGCTTCTTTTTTTTTAAATTAAACTATGTCAATAATTCAAACTTTCACAATATTAGTTGGTTATAATAGATTTGGACTGACTTTTTTATGTTTCTAGAGAGTCATGCCTAGTGGTTGGTTCCTATTGCTGCGTTTCTGGGTGAGTGACTCTGCTACACATTTTCTAGATAAATAGTATTATGGTTTATAACGAATCCATTGCATCAGAAATACTGTTATGTCTTTCATTGATAGTTGGACATGTTCCTATAGCTTAGGGTTGATGGAGTGCTTATGAGACTAAGAGACACTCGTTTGCATTGTTTATTTGGGGAGCATAACGAATCCTCTATTCTTCGTGAAAGCTGCTGGAGAGAAACCACATTTCAGGCCTTGTCTTCGGTGAGTTTAACATCCCCTCTCTTCCTTTTTCTCCATGCACAACGACACACATGTCTCTAGTATAAATCTATCTATGTGGGTGCCTAAATTCTTTCCATTTTCAATGTTGTGGGCACTGCAACCGGTTTTATATTCTGAATTTTGCTTAATAATGGCAGTTTATCTTTAAATTTTAGTGAAATGGTTGGTTCATTCACTATATTGATATAGGCTGATGGTATGTTGCACAATTTCACAAAGCTGCTGCTGCAGTGATTATGGGCTCTTGTAGTGGGTAGATAGTTTACAGGGAGCAGAGAGTGTAGGTTTGCTTCTGATGCGAGAAGAAGAAACCAGATCCAAATGTAATAAAAAGTGGTGGAGAATTTAGAAAGAGACAAGCAAGTAGGAAGAAAAGAGTGTGCTGGTGGAGGTGGAGATCTGGCTATACCTCCGACGGGCTGCTAATCTTACTTATATCACATTCTAAAATTCATAATGATGTTAAATACGTAGCTATTGCAACTTGCGTGTGTGTGCGTGTGTGCGTGCACTTGATGTTTATTGCAACTAATGATTTGGAGACCAAGAACTTTTACTGCCTATCGAAGTCAGGAAATAAGTAATGGCTACACATTGTAAGACCTCCCCTGGTATTCACTGAGATTTCACTAGACTAATATGGATAGAACTAACCGCAATAAGAATGACCCTACCATGCATAGCACCCTAATAACCAAAAAGGTTCAATGACAAAAGTTGTGCTTCCTTTTACCAATATTTTTAAAAAATATACTTGAGAACTTGAACGTGAACTCTCAAAACTAATGGCAGCAGCATGTTTATGTGGCATATCACACTATTTCTCTTTATAACGTAAATGGTCTATGCAACATTCTGTTTCTTATAAATAAAAAAGACGTACATAGTTCCATCTAAAAGCAACTTTTAGGGACACCGTGAACTTTCCCTTCTTTGAGTACATTCCATGTCAGTTTTATTGTTGTTAATTTTGTTTTCTTTGAAACTGTTAAGTGTGTATATATGTCATAGAAACAGATCAGTACATGGAAAGTACTGAAATCATATCTACAATAGAACTTCCAAAATCTATGAGCCTATGTCTATAATGAGTCTAATACATCAATAATAGAGGCAGGATCATTAGAAAATAGCTGATTACACCAAAAACAACATCAAGATACAATTTAAGTTGATCTGCTGCATAATATTCTCTATATTCTCAAAATATCTGGAGTTCTTCTCCTTCCAAATTGTCCACCAGATGCAAGCATGAATAGTTCTCCATCTGCTTCTGTTCTTAGTTGTGTTATTAAAGGCGCTCGCTTTTCGCCTTCGGCGACAAGGCGAGGCAAGCAACATCGCCTAATTCCGAGGCGAGGCGATTTCAAATAGGCGAGATATGGCGATAGGCGTTGTGGCGTGGCGATGCAAATAGACATTGTTTTTTTTTTTTTAAAGACCTGATTTAATAATTAAAAAACCAAAATTAGGGTTTTTTTTGGGTATTTTTGCAATATTCATACCTTCGCTGCTTCGCAAGACCGCTTCTCCTCAGATTTCTGAAGTCGCACAACCGGCGACCCTCCTTCTTCGCGAATCGTGACTGCTGCTCAGCCCTCAGGTACGACTCGCGACCATTTTTTCTTCTTCTTCAGTTCTTCTCTTCTTCTCTTCTAGTTCTTCTCTTCTCTTCTTCTTCTTCTTCTTCTTCTTCTCTAGTCTCTGGTCTCTACTTTGTTTTTAATACTGAAATAGCGAGACTATGTTCTGTTTTTCAATACTCCCTCTGTTTTTCAGTATTGAGAGTTTGAAACAGTGAACTGAGGCTCTGTTTTTCTATTTTGTTATAGTGCTCACTGCCTATACTTAAAAAATAATAATTTAATCCTTCTATAATTATTTCTTCCCTACTTAATTTAGTTTTATACTAATTAATATAGTATTTATTTATCCATAAATAGTGAATTCAATAGCGTTGGATGCTAACAAAAAGAGGGACATTAGAAGAAATTATGGTACTCAAGGATCATCAATAGATTCAGTTGTATGTATTTTTTGTGAAGGTACTTTTAATGGTGGTATTACTCTACACAAGCAACATTTAGTGGGTGGATACAAAAATGTAAAGCAATGTCCAATTTGTCCATCGGAGGTTAGAGATGAAATAAAGGCTTATATGGCAAATAAAATCGCTAGTAATCCGAAATTTCAAGTGAGACAACCAGAAGAATTTCTTAATATTGATGATGATGATATGGATGAATATGCTGAAATGATGCCTCCCTACAAAACTCAAAAGATGTTTTCTAGTGGAAGTGCATCATCCACGGCGCGGAATGTGACGAAAGGCCCCATGAATCTCTATTTTCCCCAAAAATCACAACAAAAAGGAGGCTTTGAAAAGGAAGTAGGAGCAGGAATTGATGAAACCAGGAAAATTCTAAGAGAGCGTGCAGTAAGTGCTTTTGCAATATGGATGTACGATGCGGGGCCCCCTTTTAATTGTGTTAATTACAAATCATTTGATAAGTTCATTGAGGTAGTAGGACAACATGGCCTCAGAATGATGCCTCCTACATTCCATGAAGTTAGAGTTACTCACCTAAAGAATGAGGTGAAGAAAGTGGAAAAAATTGTTGTTGAGCATAAAGTGCAATGGACAAAGTTTGGATGTTCCATTATGATGGACAAATGGACGACACGAAATGGTACAATGATCATCAATATTTTGGTGAATTCTCTAATCAGTTGTGTATTTCTTGGTTCTATTGATGCTAGCAATGAATCTACCGGTTCCACCAAAATGTACAACTTGTGTGAAAATACTATTGAAAGAATTGGATCGGAAAATGTTGTACAAATTGTCACCGATAATACTAGTGAGAATGCTAAAGGCATTTCATAGTCTATGCTTGAAAACTGAAAAGATTACAGAGGCACATCAGTGTTGGGAAGAAGTAGGTTGCTGGATAAGAACCAGTGTTTTGGACGGCGAAAGGTGACAAAAGGTGATAAGGGCCTGCCAACGGCGAGGTGCTCGCCTTTTTGAATTGAGGCGCCAATTAATACCAAAAATTTAAAATATTTAATTGCATATATAAATATCCAAAATCTCAATAACAATAACATTCATTTGCAAATATTTCAATTCAAAAACTAATAGTAGATATTAAAAGTCTAAAACTTGAAGGACTCAATAATTCATAAGACAATTAACAAGCAATACTAGAACTCTAAAAGTCTATTCTTCTTCAAGATTATCCAAATTTTGAAGATCAACATCCTCTTCATCATGATTATATTGCTCCTCATCTTCTTCCTCCTCGGATTCTTCATCAATTAGTGTCCGAGTCCTACTTGAACTTGTAGATGTAGTTTGTACTACAAATTCCCCTAAGATGATAGATACTTTCGTCAGCTCCAATTGCCATAGCAACACTACCCCAAGTAAGATCACATTTCTCATATACTAGTTCATCTTCTTGATCTTCGGGGCATCCAACTAACCATTCATTTGAATCATCAATATTATCCAAGAGAATTGGATCAACGGTATCACGAGCATCATAACAATGTTTCAATGTTCTATTGTACTTAATGTACACTAGATCATTGAGACGCGATAGTGCAAGCCTATTTCTCTTTTTGGAATGAATCTGCGCATAAGTTATAGATATTAACTAATAGATACTAATAATAATATAATATGGAAATTAGGATATAAAATATTCTTCTTACGTGTTCAAACACACTCCAATTTCGCTCACATCCTGATGAGCTACAAGTTAAGCTTAATACTTTCATGGCAAACTTTTGCAAGTTTGGTGTTTGATTACCAAATAGAGACCACCATTCAACTATAAAAATAAATAAATTTAAAGGTTAATGAGTACAAATAAGTCAAATAATTTAAGTAAACATATAGTATAAAGTATACTATTAACTATAAAGAGCTAAATCAACTCACTTACCCGGTGACCTTGTGTCTCTGGCTCTTTTAGCCTGACCACAACCAAATAGTCTATCCGCCATTTTGTACTTAGGAAGCTCAGCGACTAGTAAATCTTGTATTGCTATATCGTGGTTCATCTTCTCAACACATGCATGATAATTCGTCCACAAACTAGCTAGTAAAGTGCCCTCTTCATCAGCTTTATAAAACAATTCTGGTTCAAAATATGGCTTGCAACATGCAAAGGCCGATGGAGTTGGTCTGATTTCCTTGCATCAATAATATCAAACACTTTTTCATATTGCTTCTTAACTCCACGAAAACCCTGCTCAATAGTTTCTTTGGTTCTACCCATTGCTTCATAAATATAGCCCATTGGTGATTTTTTCTCCCCATCCACCAAACAAAGCACTATTGTCAAAGGGGCACAAACTGTAAGTGCCCGAACAACATCACTCCAAAACTGGGCAGAAATAAGAAGGTTGGCAACTTCTTTCCCTGAAGTTTCCTTTGCAAATTTACTTGATGTCCATTCGGTTGAGAGGACTAGAATTCTCAAGTTTTTCTTTTGTATGTACATAGCTCTCAAAGTTGAGAAGGCCGTTGCAAATCTTGTCTTGGCCGGTTTCACCAAATATCTTTGGATGGTGAATTTTCTCATCAAGTTCAACAAACCTGCCTTTGACTAATGTAAGAATGGATTTTGATGGCCTTCTTAAAAACTGTTAAAGTAATATTATAGTAATTAGTAGCTAATGAGTATTAAATATTGACTATAAAGAAAGTTAGAGGATAGGAGAGTGATATTATCTGAAGCATATGGATTAATCTTGAATATGTCACCAAATATCAAGTTGATGCAATGAGCAGCACATGGAATCCAATAAATGTGTGGGTACGCACCCATCATCATGCTTCCCGCTTTAACATTCTCACTAGCATTATTGGTGACAATTTGTACAACATTTTCCGATCCAATTCTTTCAATAGTGTTTTCAAACAAGTTGTACATTTTGGTGGAATCGGTAAATTCATTGCTAGCATC